CCACCAGGGGGCAGACGCTCAACACAGGAGCTGCCCACAGCTCACAGGCCCCAGGCCAGCCAAGGTGGATGCCAGCGGGGAAGGGGGGGGGGGGGCATTACCCTGCCATTTGCCCTGCAGAGGGAGGTGACCGGTGGCAGCAGCAGGGGGGCAGGGCTGGTGAGCAGGCAGCACCAGGCCAGCCAAGGTGGGTGCCAGCACCCCCCACTCCCATCATCCCGCCAGTCACCCCACTGATTGGCCCTGATCGCCAGCCGGGCCTAGGGACCCTACCCATGCACAAATTTCGTGCATTGGGCCTCAAGTAGTCTAATAAATCTCCCATATTTCTGACTTGGATGATAGTGTCATTAACTAAAATAGGGAGAAACCACAAGTAAGTCCTGGAGATGAGAAAGAATGCTGTTAGTCGTGGACCTGTCAAGTTAGAACTATAGGAAATTCAAGTGGATATATCAAGCAATTGGATGTACCTGAAACTCAAGTCAACCTGTAAGATACAGACTTGGAGGTCAGCATCAGGCATAAATGGCTGATACTGTGTGCTTACCATGTGCCAGACAGAATATTAAATACTCAATATGAATGATCTTATTTAATACTCAAACTAATCTTTTAAATTAGGAATTATTTTTTATCCCCATTTGACAAAGGTAAACTGGGGAGTTAAGAGTTAATAACTGGCCTATTACCAGATAGCTATAATAGTGGAGCCAAGATACCAGCACTGAGCACCTAACTACATTCTGTAATGTTAGAACCATTAATTACCTAGATTAACTGAGAAAAATACAAAATAAGAGCAATAGGCCAAGAACAACATTTTGTAACACATTAGTGTTTAAAGTGGGCAGGAGAAATGAAAAGGAAAAATCAAAGTGGTAAAAGGGAACAAGATAGTGGTCCCTTCCTGCAGCCGAAGTAGAGCTTGAGTGCCTCAGGAAACAGTAAGGGGAGGACTGCAATCATCAGTGGATGTGGCACAATGGAAGGGATGTCGACGGAATTTCAATGAAGTGGTGGAGGTGGAAGGAACTTCAAGTTTCAGAAGTGCTACCATGTGAGACTTCTCTTGAAATAATCTTCATAGTTTGTTTTGGTTGGGGGTGGAGGGCCTTAAGCAAGTTTATATATTGAGAAGAGATAACTAAAGGAGCAAGGAGTAGAATTAAGAAGGCTAAGGATGGGAGAAACCAAGATGGCGGCATAGGTAAACACCGGAAATTGCTGCCTCCCACAACAAATTCAAAAATACAACTAAAAGACAAAACGGACATCATCCAGAACCACAGGAAGGCTGGCTGAGTGGAAATTCTACAACTAGAAGGAAAGAGAAAAGCACACTGAGACTCAGAGGAGGTGCAGAAGTGCAGAGGTACGGAGGCGCACGCGGCAGGGGCTGGCGACTGAGGACAAGGCTGTCTTTTTGAATCGGGAGGGAGTCACAAGCCCCCAACTGCTCTGAACTCCAGTTCCGGGTGAGTCTCTGGGGACCCAGACTCATACAGGGAGAAACTGGACTGTCTGGCAGCAGGCAGAACTCGGAACTCGAGGGCAGCTTTCTCTCGGGGATGCTTGCAGCGATTACCTGGACACTGAGACACGGGCCCCTTAGGGCAGGGCTGAGGATCAGCCATAGCTGCTTGCTCCGCCCTGCTGATTCCCTGAGACCCCGCCCCACCCAAGCTGCAGCAGAGGCTTTTGCATATGAATGCCCTGGCCCTTTGCAATCTGAAAATTACCAAACTGCAGCTAGGCCAGACAGACCCAGAACTTCCAAGAGAAGGCCCAAGGCCCCACAGCAGCTTGCATTGCTTCACAGCTGGTCCTCATTTGGGCACCTCCAAACCCCAAACAAGGAAGGGGAATCTGCAGATCTCTTCGTAGCTCCTGCTGGGTAGCCTCAGGCAGAGGCTAAATTAGCACCTCCTTAGATCCAAGAGCCAGTGTACCCAGTGGTCAGAGTGGGACCATCCAATTACAACTCCTCAGATCCATAAGGGACACACTCAGGGGGCAGACTCAGCACCAAAGCCCCACTGAAGCAAGTCTTGCCTCATAAGGGTGTCTTCAGCACAGAAGTTCTCCCACTGTAGACACAGCTGATTCTCACAGCCAATTGGCCTGGAGGTCAATTCCTCCCAGTGATACCTACAACAATCAAGGCTTAACTACAACAAGACTGTGCACACAGCCCACAAAGGGGTGCACCAAGAGTGTCCACCTCAGGTAATTGGGGAGGCTGAGCCACTGGGCCCTATAGGACACCTAGCACACAAAGCCACTCTATCGACACAGGGAAGCAGCCAAAATGCGGAGACAAAGAAACAGGTCACAAATGACAGAAATGGAGGAAAGCAACTACTGGATATAGAGTTCAAAACCACACTTTTAAGGTTTTTCAAGAACTTTCTAGAAACCGCCGATAAATGTAGTGAGACCCTCAAGAAATCTAGTGAGACCCTCGAGGTGATGATAAAGGACCAACTAGAAATTAAGCATACACTGACTGAAATAAAGGATATTATGCAGATTTCCAACAGCAGACTAGAGGATCGCAAGAATCAAGTCAAAGATTTGAAATACGAAGAAGCAAAAAACACCCAACCGGAAAAGCAAAATAAAAAAAGAATCCAAAAATTCGAAGATAGTGTAAGGAGCTCTGGGACAGCTTCAAGCATACCAACATCCGAATTATAGGGGTGCCAGAAGAAGAGAGAGAGCAAGATATTGAAAACCTATTTGAAGAAATAATGGCAGAAAACTTCCCCTACCTGGTGAAAGAAATAGACTTACAAGTCCAGGAAGCGCAGAGAACCCCAAACAAAAGGAATCCAAAGAGGACCACACCAAGACACATCATCATTAAAATGCCAAGAGCAAAAGACAAAGAGAGAATCTTAAAAGCAGCAAGAGAAAGAAAGTCAGTTACCTACAAGGGAGTACCCATACGACTGTCAGCTGATTTCTCAACAGAAACTTTGCAGGCCAGAAGGGAGTGGCAAGAAATATTCAAAGTGCTGAATACCAAGAACCTACAACCAAGATTACTTTATCCAGCAAAGCTATCATTCAGAATTGAAGGTCAGATAAAGAGCTTCACAGATAAGGAAAAGCTAAAGGAGTTCATCACCACCAAGCCAGCATTATATGAAATGCTGAAAGGTATCCTTTAAGAAAAGGAAGAAGAAGGAAAAGGTAAAGATACAAATTATGAACAACAAATACACATCTATCAACAAGTGAATCTAAAAATCAAGTGAATAAATAATCTGATGAACAGAATAAACTGGTGATTATAATAGAATCAGGGGCATAGAAAGGGAGTGGATTGACTATTCTTGGGGGGGGAAAGGGGTGTGGGGGATGCGGGAAGAGACTGGACAAAAATTGTGCACCTATGGATGAGGACAGTTGGCAGGGGGGTGAGGGCGGAGGGTGGGGTGGGAACTGGTTGGAGGGGAGCTATGGGGGGGGAAAAAGAGGAACAACTGTAATAATCTGAACAATAAAGATTTAATTTAAAAAAAAAAATAAGGCGAAGGATGGAGGCAGAGACTGCAGAGAAGTTGTTTAGGGGACCAACTATGGGCATAGGCTGGACAGGGAAGAAGTTTAGGCCAATAAGGGACTGACAGATTGGAATAAAATTAAAGGAGTCAAACAATTTGAAGTCTCCAAGTTCTAGAATAGAATGGAAATGAGAATGTAAGAAATCGCCTCAAAAAAGACTGATTTTGTACTATTTTGAAAGTGGCACAGGGGACAGCTGAGAGAATGGTGACCCTAACTGTACATGTGAGAAAGCAGAAGAGGCAGTAGAGTCCTTGGTTAATACACCAAGAGAGGATGGGAGTAAAAGGGTTGAAAATGTAGGAAAGCTGGGTTGTTTTGTTGTTGTTTTTTATTGATTTTAGAGAGGAAGGGAGAAAGAAGCATTGATTTGTTGTTCCACTTACTTATGCATTGCATTCATTGGTTGATTCTTATATGTGCCCTGATCAGAGATTGAACCCACAACCAGGAAGTATGGGACAACACTCTAACCAACTGAGCTACCTGGTCAGGGCTAAAGCTGGGTTTTTGTTGTTGTTAATGCTCACCCAATGATATTTTTCCATAGATTTTTAGAGAGATGTGAGAGACACATCAACTGGTTGCTTCCTGCACGGGCCCCGACTGGGCTAGGGTTTGCAATCCAAGTACATGACCTTGACTGGGAATCAAACTCAAGACCCTTCTGTGCACAGGCTGATGCTCTAACCACTGAGCACACTGGCCAGGACTAAAGCTCAGTTTTTTTAATCATGGAAGAGGGCTTTTAGGTGAAAGCTTTAGGAGGGACAAAGGTCAGAGCAATATGCACAAAGAGCATGAAAAAGGAAAGGTGTCCAAGGAGGTTGATATTTGGGGTGATCACCAAGGACATGAACTAGTAAATCTCAAAGCTCAAAATGGAATGGTGGTAACAATACCTCTCTTCATAGTTGGGTTTTACCTTGAATACAGTTTTCTTTCAAATCCTCTTCACAGCTCTGTAATAAGACCTGCAGGTTTGATTTCCTGTACAGTGGAACAGTGAGAAATCGACCCTTATGCTAACACTACACCCAATGAGCTTAAGGAGGTGAACTATATTACTATAGGCTGCCCAACAACCCTTCCTTTTGGGAATTGAGCCTCCTCCACTTGGTGCAATTACAAGGGCCTCTGCCTTCCTTAAATGCTGGCCAGAGTATCCCATTACCTGGACACAGTAATTGGTGCAGAAATGGTCATTGACCAAAGAGCTCTGGTCTTCAGTCGAATTTTGGGGGGATTTCTACAGCTGCTAGGACAGTCATTTCTCTGAGGTCATGAAAGTTGATATATACTCCTAAAACTGTATAATACCCACTTCACGGGTATTAAGAGCTCAAGATCGTGGAAATCCAGTCTATGAAGGGCCCACCTCTGTGGTCTGTAGCCTATTTAAATAAACAAAAACACGAAGACACAGACACATGACAAAATATTTAATGCCTGTGCATGTGCCTCCCTCTGTCCCAATTCCTGCTACAATTTGACAGCCTCCTTAAACTGGCAGTTCCAGAGAAAACATGGGCACTTATCCCCAGCAGGACTTGAAAACCATTAAGGCCCTGGTTCTCTTGATTTGGGTGATTGTAGGTGAGCTCTTTCCACAGCATGCCTCAGGCCTCTCTGGTCAAGGAAAAGAGCCCCCCAGTTCTACAGGACTCCTGAGGTCTTCTGTTCTTCTGCAGCCTGGCGCCGGGAGCTGCGCCGCTGGAAAAAGTGGTAGGCTCGAACACTGCAGAGGTAGCCCCCATACACAGTAAGGAGCATCATGGAGGTGGAGAAAGTCTTGTAGCCAATGTCAGCTAGTTGCTTGGCAGTTGGCATGTCGTCCCCTACAAAGAAAGACTGAATTTAGACACCAGGATAGGTCTCATGTGCCCAGCCCACTTCCCTGTTTAAAGCCATTCCATAACTTGTGCACCCTGCTTAGTCTGTCTACTCTATTGAATGGCCCCTACATGGATGCAGAGTCTTACAATGGAAGACAACGTTTGGGAATTCTAAGTTTCAAAAGGGCAAATAAAATCTACATGAGACACAGACACACAGCTGGAACCAGGTGAATCTGAGTGACATCACAGCTAACACCTCACCCTCCATATTTTTGGAAAGAAGTGACTGGTACGGACCACCCAGAAATGTTAACTGGTACATTAAGCATGCATCAGTTTTTCTGACTAACGGGCAATTAATGGAGGTAGCCAGGGATTAAACATTAGCAGTAAATTATTCTCTGTAGGAGATCAAATGGGAACCTTCTAGGCAATATCCAATTTATTTTCCCATAAAAACAATCTTATTCACGGTGGTTAGGTTCCCAGGTTAGACCTCAAGCATCTGTTTAAGCCATAATATTCCTGAAATAGTGCCAACCTTCCACAGCATTAATTCTAAGTTCCAAACACAACACAAAGCACCTATCCCAATGGCTAAAAAGAAACGGAGTCCCCAGCAAATTGTTAACTCACATTTGCATGAGATAAATTACTTCTAATTTAACCATTCCCTGGATATTCTGAGCTAGAGAACAAGAGAAAGTCTAGCATGACAATCTCTCATCCTGAACAAAACGTTCCTCAGTTTGGGACTATGAATGTGTTCTTAAACTCCTCTTTGTTGAGGGAACTGAAATTAAAAGACTAGCTGAAATGAGTGAGAATACATTTCTTAAAAGTCAAGAATTTGGAAGAAGAAAAAGCTCAGGATTAGCTGGCTTAGGGAGTCAGGAGTAGGGTGAGATATAAGTGCTTCTCCGAGTGAGTTCTAGGGGCTGAACATTTCCTTAGAGCCAGTCCTTGAAGGTGGACCCCAAGCTGAGCTGAGGCATAGCTTCCTTGAATTATAATTCCAAATGACTCTCAATAAGGTCAGAGGAAGAAAACCAAATGGCACAATCTCAAGATGAGGTTATCTGAGCTTCGAAAGGACCGCAAGCTGTGAGACTGAAGAAAACACACACGGAGAGCAGAATATTAAGAGACTTGCAGACCTTCAACCTCCCTCTTACTTCTTCTTTCCCCTCATATTCCCCATAACCCTGGCCAGATGCTAACCACTTTGAGGAGCTGAAGGAAGAAGGCTGGAAGCATTCACTAGCCAAGAAACAAGATGGTACAGCTTGGCTAAAAGAGTGACAGAAGACTTAATAGACATGATTTTGGTATCTACAATCTCACTTCCTTCTCTTGTCTAATCCAACCTAAGATTGTTCCTATTTTCAAATTTTAAAAAACTCTTCGCATACCCTGAGCTAAGACAGGATGTAGAAAAGAAGACAGATGCAGAAGTTCAAGAAGATTTATTAACTGAATGGATTAGGGCAAAGCTGAAAATATCTCCAAGTTAGGAAACTGTTAACAAATAAGAAGAAGAAACAGGTGTGTGCACCAGGGTGGTGGTCGCACTGTCAGTCAAGAAGATCATGAGCTGGGTTTTGGACACCTTAAAATTAAGACGCTCAGCACAATATTCAGGTGGTGATGTCTATCAGGCAGATGGATATGCAAATCGGGACAGCTCCTGGGAGGTAACAAGTGACACCAAAGCAGAGGATAAGACCAGAGAGAGGCCAAGGAAACACCAGTTTGAAGAAGCAAAATCATTAGGGAAAGAAAGTAGGAAGAACATGCCAGATATTTCTGGGGGGCTTTTTCATTTAACTATATCCCTCTTCCTGCTTGAAAGTCTCTGCTGCATCAAGTCCTGCATTTTTCAGGTGCATTGGGCCAGAATGAAAGTTGGGAACCACAACTGCAAAGTTATGTGCCTTGAAGGCTGGTCAGATGGGAATAGATGACTAGGTCACAGGTAAACCTCAAGTAAAAATTTAGTGCACTGAACTGGAAGTCGTTAAGTAAAAAGCAAATTCTTAGCCAGGACCCCAGCAGGGCCAGGAACGCTGACCCCCCAAGGTCAGAGCTACTGGAGTCGGAGCGGGGAGGGCCAAGAGCCCCGCTGGAGTCAAGGTTTGGCAGGACCTACAGCTGCAAGGAGCTTGTTGGGCTGGACGCAGTGCAAATCGCCTCGTCCGCGGTGCAGGATACACCGGTGACTTCAAGGGCACGGAGGATGCGGTCAGCACAGGCCGGCCGAACTGGCGCGCCTCAGCTCGCCCCAGCAGACGGCGTACCTGGGTGTTGCAGCTCCCTCCCGTCCAACCGAGGCCTCCACTGCCCGCGTCTCGCCAGCACAGAGCGCGCAGCCTGACGCAGCACCCGACACAAGGGTGGCGGCCCAGGAACAACCCTAGACACTGAGGTGCTCTTGGTCAGGAAAGCCACCTTTCCTCCCTCCCTTCCACCCGCCCGCCTACCCACCCAATTACCCTCTAGGATACGACTCCCAACGCAGAGAGTGCGCACCGCGTGCCGGACACTGAGGCGGGAGCCCGCGCCGCCCGCGGCCCAGGCTGGGTGCCGTCCTTGAACTTCCGGCTTCCGGCCCGGCCACGCTTACTACGCATCCTCAGACGAGCCTCCCTTTCCGAGAGGCCCATTGGATTCTGGGGCTTGTAGTCATTCCCCATGAGAGAGGGTCTTTGGTCACTCAGACTCTGGAACTGGAACTTTTAGGAGACTCAGCCACGAAAGAAAAGACGGTCTTTCCCGCGGGCTCAGTCAGTCAGCCAATCCCCAGCCTACGGCGCAGTGAAGTCTGCGGTAGCGAGGGGGGTTCCCCCGGGTCCGCCCTCCGGAGCTGAACCTCGCGCCCCCTCGAGCCTGGAGCTGCCCTCTACCCGGTGGCCAAGCGCAGGTAGGAAACCGACCCGCACCGTGAGGCCTGGGCCCCGAGGAGGCCGCGAGTCCGGCCAGGGCCAGCGAGTGGGCACGAGGACTGTTTCTGCCCCGTGTGGCCTCCGCAGGTGACCTCTCTGCTCGCCGGGCGCGATGAAGTCCCAAAGGCGCTCTGGGAGGGGAGGAGAGGGTGCCCCTCGGGGCAGGAGAACTGGGCGGGCACTGCTGGGGGCAGGGAGCAGCTGGGAATATCGAGGAGGGCTTTCCTCTTTTTTTAAAATGTATTTTTATTGAGTTCAGAGAGGAAAGGTGAGGAAGAAAGAGATAGAAACATCAATAATGAGGGAGAATCATCATTATTGGTGGCCTCCTGCACGCCCCCGACTGGGCCCGCAACCCCGGCACGTGCCCTATCGAGCCCTGACCCCCTCGTTCATAGGTCGATGCTCACCACTGACCAGCCAGCTGGGCAAGGAGGGCTGTCTTTTTTCCCTTTTCCTTGCGGAATAAATGAAAACATACAAACTACCACAATGCACTGAAGCACCTTCCCCAACTCGTTTCTGGAAAAACCACACTTTATTGGGTAGACAAATAGGCCTGATTTGAAGGCCTTGGATTCAGTAACTGTGGAGGGAACCACAGCAGGCAAAAGTGTTTGACTCTCAGGTGGCAGCTGCTGAGGCAGGGGACGGTCGGTCTGCCCGCCCTTTGACCTCCTGTGTTCAGCCAGTGCCCCTCACTGGGCCGGCCAGATCTGGGGTCTTTTTTTCACTGGGAAGAACGTGAAATCTCAGCAGCTGGGCACTGAGAGGAGCCTGCCTCGCTGGTTAGGCCGGGAATAAGAGAGTTAACACGGTGCTGCCAGCGCTAGTTATGTGCCAGGTGCTGCCACACAGGAAGCTGAGACCCTCTGCTGGACTCTAGGAGCATCTTGGGCCCTCGGGGGCTATTTATAGCCAGGAGCCTAGGCTGCTGACCTGGACATTCCCTGCTGCCACCCGTCCTGGAGCCAGGCCAGTGTCAAGCACACTCCTCCCCTCCTCCCTTCCTGTTCTTCCCTTACCCAGGCGGCCGGTGTGCTGCAAGGACTTTTTAAAAACATGCAATACCTGACTATTTAGTCAGGGCCACTGACCTCTTTTCCCTGAAGTTGTCAAATAAAAATCTGACAACAGCCAACACAACAATAGTCGTCCAGTGTGAATGATTCAAAACTACCTTTTTTTTCTTTCAGATTGGCAAAAAATATATATTTTCGTGTGCCACAGAATTTTAGTCATTCGTTTATGTGTGCCATGAAATGAAAAGGTTGAAAACCACTGCTTTAGGGGTAGGGTGCTTTTCATTCTTTTCCTCCTCGTTTCCTAGCTCTTAGAGTGCTGATACATACCTGTGAGAAGGTGTGTATATCAGATGACAGAGGGCTGGCCTTGGAATGTCAGGATCCACCAACATGGGGCATGGTCACCCTTCCCTACCCCTGATCAGCTTTGGGCCACTCTCTGGCCACCTGGCTCAGGCTTTGGGAGAAGGAAAGGGGTGGAGCCAAGGATGTCCTGAGGAGGTAGCAGGAGGAACCCAGCTGAAACCTCCCCTGTCACTAGAGCTCCTGAGAAGGGAGGCAGGGCAAATGCAAAGGTCACAGGGAGCAGAGATCTGAGCCTGCTGTGGAAAGGTGCAGCTCTGTCAACAGATTAAGTTCTTGCTCCTCAAAGAGGGTGCTGGCGGGGAGCGGGAGGGAAGACTTGGAAAGGTCACGCACTGTGGGGAGGAGCTGGCAAAAAAACTAGGAACCAGGAAGTCCATGGGGAGAATGACAAGCCCCAGGGCCAGAGATGCCAGCCTGGTAGCCACTGTGGTGCCAGGGCAGCCTGGGGGAGGGGAAAGGGAATGACCAGAGGTTTCTGAGGACGCAGATGTTGCTAGGAGAAGCTAGAAGGGGGTTGAGATCTTTGTATTTTGTTAACAAACACTGAGATCCATTGATGCTGTGCAGGGCCTGGCAGAGGTCAGACAGAGCAAAGGAGTCCCTATGTCAGCTCAAAAGCCCAGACCCCTCTCTGACAGCCCTTGCCTCATCCCTCTTGTGGCTGAGATAGTTCTTTAGCTACTTAACTGGGCTTGGGGACAGGACTCCTGTTCTGTGTGAAGCAGCAGGGGGCACCTATTGCCTTACTTCCTTCTCCCTGCACCACACACCCAAAGTAGGCAGCACTGGGCCTTCCCAGAGGACAGGGAGAAAGTGCCACATCTGGAGAGGATCGAGGCATCTCCATTTCTGCTGAGATGTGGCAAGAGGCTGCAGGCTGCTTGGTGGTTCAGGGTCTCCAGACAGGTCGCTGGGCCCTACAACTTCCTGTCGGGTGAAAAGCTGAGAAGAGGCTGCTCTGTGGGGGGTCCCAAATATCTCGGTGGCCAGGTACACAAGCTTCTGCCTGTCTCCACTGGGGTAACGAAACTGCCTGGCCTGGGCCACAGCCCTGCTCACAGATGTTCTGGATGATTCTGCAGGCAGCGGATGAATTCACCCACGGGCTGGCTCTCGTAGCATATTCTGTACACAGCCATGAACAGAGGGAACCTGGAATGGGGAGGGAGAGACCCAGCTTAGCCTCCTTGTACATCCTCTAACCCCCACTCCCCATCCCCTCCTAACCCTCTACTCTCCTACTCTCCCACCTTGGAGTTCAGGTAGACTCTGGCTCTCAATTTCCAGTTGCTGAGAATTTGAACTTCCTAGCTCTGGGTTTTAGGGTCAGGTTGTTAATTGCCTTGCTCCCTATCATATTGAACTGGCCAACATGATTCCCTGAAATTGTTTTGATCCAAGTGGACAAACCACTTAACCTCTGTGAGCCTCGGTATCATCAACTGTAAAATGGGGCCAATGTGAGAAGCACTGAAGTGAGTATGTTTTCTATGAAGGTGCTTCATAAATGCCGGTTTCCTTCTTCTCATCCTCTTGCCCAGGCTGTTTGCTTTACCAGGAGGCTGACTCTGACCAGCCATGAGCTGATCCTTTGAGCCTGTTTCATTCTCTTATTCCAGGATTCTTTCTCGGCCAACAGAGCTCTGCTCTGATCAGCCCATCACCCCCTCTTGTCTTTGTGCTTTACATAAAGCAACACCTTGACATAGAGACTGTCCTCACACCTCAGCACCCAGGACAGTATTCAGGGACAGAGGGTTGGCTTTAGGTGAGCAGCTTAGACTCGGGATGATAGACAGAAAAACAGGACAATCAGGTGAGCTTATTCCTGCTGCCCCAGAGTTCCAACCCCCATAGCAGAGAATGAGGAGAGAATCGAGGGAGGCTATGCAGAGGGGTCGAAGCAGTGTGGTATAAAGATCACTAGACTGGAAGGAGTTCAAAGACCATGAACTCCTAGTTGGGGGACAGTGGGCATCCAGACTCTTTCCAAGCTCTGGTCTCTGTGTCCGTTAACATGAGATAACATTTCCCTCTCTGCCCACTTCACAGATTGAGGAGGGTTCAAGAAGATGAAGAATAGGGAGAGCACTTCTGGCTGTGGTTCCCTCCACCAGTGGGGCTGTGGCAGACACTTACTTATCTAGCATGCCCTTTTGTCGGAGGATGCTGTGTAGCTCCCGGGCTGTCTGGGGCCCCTGTAGCTTCTGCCCATTCAGCATCTCTTTCTCCAGCTGCTCAATGGACTGTGAAGAAAACAGGACAGGTGGATGGAAATGGGAGAGGAGGATTGTCAGTGTGAGGTTGAGAGTCGGGGGTTCTGATGAGAGGTGGAAGGTCATAGAGGAAAGCAAGGCTAGCAATGTTTACAACAGCTTAATGTTTGTGCTCAAGAGACACCTCAAGCCAGGTTCCTCTACCTTGACACCTCTAAGGCACACCCTCTGTTCTCCATTCTCCCCGGTGCCCACCTTTCCTGTGTGGGCAAAGGCCTCGGCCACCTTGCGGTTCCGCCCTCCGTAGCAGGTAGTGATGAGGTCAGCGACACCACAGCTCTCCAAGAAGGTGGCAGAGGACACAGGGCCCTTGCAGAAGAGCTTGGCGAAGGCGATCATCTCCATGAGGCCCAGTCGGATCACCGCTGCCTTGGTGTTGTCGCCAAAGCCCAGCCCATCGCAGAAGCCAGCCCCCACGGCCACTACATTCTTTGGAGAATGGAGGTCATAGATGAGAAAGGATCCCCTTCTGCAGGCCCCACTTACAGCCCTCACCACCTGCCTCATGCTGCTTCCATCAGCCATGACATGCCCACTGAACAAGTGAAATATAGTGGGTGGCTCCGCGGCTAGTTCCACCTCGTGGCTTTCCCACTTGCTGTATCTCTTCTAGCCTGGGCTTATGCTTCCTGGCTCCCCAGCTCTGCTCCATCCTTCATCCTTGAGGACATTTACTGAAAATCAGTCTTCCATCCAGCTGGCTCCCCCATCCATGACATCCCTGGTATCCACAGCTCTGTCTAGGTCCAGAGTTCTAGCCATCAGTCTGTCTGGGTGTTCTGGACATCTGTTCTCCCATTAGCCTGAGTGCTCCCCCAGAGCATCTCCTCTTCTCCTTGGACCACCCCCTGGAGCCAGTGACAGGGATGTCCCACAAGAGGCTATAGGGAGAAAGGAAGAAGGGGGTCCCCTGTCCGATGATGAATAATCAGCAGGCCTAAATGATGCTGGCTTTGCTCCTGCAGTTCTTCCTATGTGTATGGGATTTGGTGGGGAATGGGAGCAACTGCCTATGAGTGAGGGCCTGGAGTACCAGTAACCATGTATAGCTAAGCCAGGCCCTCTTTCAGGGTCTTCTCCCCACCCCCTAGCTGCTACATCCCTCTCACCTTTAAGGCCCCACAGATCTCTACTGTGTCCACCTCTTGCACCACCGTGATGCGGAAATTGGGTGTCTGCATTAGCTCTTTCAGAAGCTGTCCCTGGGCCTGGTCCTTGCAGCCTAAAATGGAGAAGGGCGAGGCTTTAACAGAGGACTCTTGACTCTTCTTTGCACACCTGCCCTAAGCAGGACCCAAAACCCTTTCCCTGGGGGTGTCCCAACCTTCCCTCACCTCTGATGCTTGGGTCTTCTTCCTTTGTCTGCCTTACGGGGAGAAGATGGCTAAGTGGGTTTGGGGGAGGGAGAGTGTGGAGCTGCTTTATGTACGTGGGTTGTGGTGGGGCTCTCACCAATGGTTGTCTCACAAAACTTCTCATCAGCCACCTCGTTGGCAATGTTGGCCCCCATCAACACATTCACAGGGATGCCAAGCCGCTCCCCAATCACTTCAGAGATGAGCTTCAGCCCGTTGGGGCCCTCGTCTATACCCTGGGCACAGGATGGAGGTCAGGCCAGGTGCTCTTTATGCCCACTGAGGGCTTCCCACCTAGAAATCCTATCCTTTCCAAATCCGCTGTTCATCAGTGTCCCTGCCCAAAGGTCCTGCTGCCATCCCAACCCAGCCAAAGCTTGTGGTAAGGAGGGTGATGGCATATGAAAATGAATCCATCTGAAAACTCCTCCAGCCCCTCATCAGCCTGCCTCTCCAAGGCAATGTATCTCCTCCATATTCCTATACGACTCACTTCAAGTTCCCCAAACAACTTCCATCCCAGTCACTGCTCCAAACCAACTTCTCTTTCACATTCCTCACACCAGCCTGCTTCTCACACCCCCAGCTATCCTTTGGACACCTCCTAAACTCCCCAGGACATCTGCCTCCAAACCCATCTCTGTCTACTCCTCAACCAACCTCCCCTTCCCCGTGGCCCCCAACATCTCACTGTTTCTCAAGCCTCCCCAAAGCCACTCCTTCCCTCTTTCCAGAAAACTCTTGGCCTACTTTTGCCATATTCTCTTCTCCCCACTTTACCCACCCTGAGCCCCACAACAGTTAGCTGCACCCCCATCCACACGGTGTCCCTGGCACCTTAATAAGAGACATCCCGATGGCGTTTGCCTTCAGGTGGCCCTTGAGCTGATCACAGATCTTGCTGATGAACTGATGGGGCACCACAAAGATCAGGATGTCCGCATCCACTGCAGCCTGGACCACATCTGGGACAGCCACCTGTGGGGTGACCAGTGTTCATGGGCCTGATAGACTTCTCCTAGCCCCTATGAAACCCCATTCAGTTCAGAAGATCTAAAAAACCAGAGTGAGGCTTGTGGGGGAAAAAGAAGACCAGTTTGGGGGTTGAATCTGGAAGGGCTAAACTTGGAGGAATACGACATTCTATTCCTTCCCCCATAGCCACCATTTCCTCGCTGCTCCAGTTTTCCTGGGCTCTTGACTTGGAAACCTCCTCCCAGCACCCTCCTAGCCTTTGGCTGTGGGACAGTTAGAGGCCAAAGGAGACCTGAGCTTGGCAGGAGGAAGAGGCCAAGTAATTTCATCACCCTGCTCCTTAGGGTCCCTAACTGGGAAGGGAAAGCGCCAATTTTTCTGCTGTCTTTTCTGGGGAGTGAGCCATGTGGATTTGACCTTAAGTCCAAGGAGCATCGTCCAAGTCTGCTAATGACCCAGTGAATAAGTAACTGGATTAGAGCCTGAGGCAGGCACTACCTGAACCCCAGGACTGGGAGCCAGAGATCCTGTCTTTGGTTGCCACAGAAACCAACTTCCTTGTCTTCTCTTAAAGGCCTGGGAGTCCAAAACGGGGGAGGGGGCATTCAGGTTCTCCTGTTCCAGAAAGTGCCCAGGGAAGCAGTTTGGGGCTGCGCACAGGAGTGCCTGGTGCCTGGAGCAGCCTTCCTGAGACGCTTCCCGAGTCCAGGTAGCACCTGACATGTCCCCCTTCAGCAGGAGGCAAGCAGACCTCCCTCCCTTGGAGGGTGCGGGGCTCACCACGTTGGAGGGAAGCTTGTGCCCGGGCAGGTATTTGACGTTTTCATGCTGTGTGTTGATGATCTCGGTCAGCTTTCGGCCCCCGACGTCTTCCTCGAACACCCACATGGTCACCCGGGGGTCAAAGTGTGCCAGCTTGGCTGCATTGCCACCCACAATCTTGGCGATGGCTGAACCCCTGGTAGGAGAGGGAGCACAGAAGTGGGGGTGTGGTGGAGGAGTCGTGGCAGGGGAGGGGGCAGTGTTCCACCTCAGGATAGCACAGCAGCCCACCAGGTTATTTACCTTCCTGTCACCCCCACCCCCAAACCCAAGCAGCTTTCAAGCAGAGAGCACTTGAGGCTCCCTTCCTGTGACGAGCAGGTGCAGGGCCAGGGCCAGGCAGGGGCCAGGGCGCGTTTGGACACCATCTGTCCTCCGGGGGGAGGCACAGAAGAGAGCAGCAGGGATGGGAGAGGAATCAGAGGGTATTTTCTACCCACTGTCTGCCTCCTGCCCACCTAGGCCCCTAGGTACTTGGGGGATCCCCCTTCTTCCCCATACCCCTCGACAGAGCCACTTACCAGTTGCCAGAGCCTAAAATGCAGACTTTCTTGCCAGCCATGGTGCCGCGTTTCTGCCTGAGCCAGCTGGTTCCACACTCCCAGCTCTTCTCTCCGCTAGGAGCATATAACTCTGCCACACGTGGGTGCAGCCAAGCCCCGCCCTCCAGGGGAGGCAGGCGCCTAGGGAGACAGTCTGGCCGAGCCAGGGAAATGGGAGAAAGGAGTAGAGACAGGTGGGGAACTGGAATGGGGCACAAACCAAGCTCCACTTTTCCTCAGGCTTGCCAGCTGATGGTGTTGGCAGGCTTCCTTTGGCCCCAGCTCAGTCCCCCGTACCCCGCTGCCACGGTCTCATTTCGGTCTGCCAAGAAATAGCCCAGATAAAGGAGCAAGTGACGCCCCCATCGCTCCCTCTGTCTTGCAGCGCTAGAATGTATTATATGCAGCCCTAGTAGCAGATACAGGAATGTTTTCTTTTCCAAGGTATATGCCTAGTATACCCTCCTCCCAGGACTCCAAAAAGCGCTCTACATTTTTGTCCTCTAGCAGTGACAGGGACCACGTCACTGGCCCCACACTGGCTGCAGTGCAGGGCTGTGGTGAGTGGGTGTGGGCCCACTTTTAAAGCTAAGACCACACAAAAGGTAAAGGCGCGCTTGGGGACAACCCAGCCCAAGAATAAGAGACCCCAGGAGCCCTGACAGACAAGGTCATCCTGGTTACCCACAGTAGTCCTCTCAGGGACTCACCAGTGGGCCTCCTCACCTCAGCCTCCCCACCTGAATGCCTTCCAGGAAGGGAGGATGGGAAGGTCAGAGTGAGAGGCTCTGATGCCCACAAGTGTCCTTTTGCGACTCTGGGCTTGAAGACAGGAGAGAAAAGAAGGGGCCGGCGTGCTCACTCTCCTTGAGAGGCTCTCAGCACCCGTCAGTTCTTTCTTGGGGTTTTAAACCACCACACTCGGCTCCCTCAGTTAGTGGCTAGTTTGCAGAAGCCAGAAAAGGGGAAAGGAGGCTGGATCGGAGGAGCTGTGACCTTTGTGAGAGCTTGTTGGCCTCAGATGCTGTGATTGAGTAAGTGGGGTGTGATTTGGAGGGGAGGGGAATGGAAGCAGCTCTTGCAGCAGTTCAGGGCTCTGTTATCGCCCACAACCATCTGTTTGACTAAGAAGGGGAGCTCTGGTTTCTAGGCTGATCTGAAGAGTGAGGTAACGGGCCCTAACACTCCAGCTGTCTGTGCACCTTGGCCTAGAGGGCAGAGACCATTGTGTGCTCACGTGCTGACCTCCTGGGCTGGCAGACTCCTAAGTGGGTGTTTCCAATCCCCGGGGCCACTGTTGGCTGGTAATAGTGATAAACACTGGGCTAGAGGGGAATCTGTGTGCAACCACTGGGTAAGGGTAAGTGGGCATGAGGTCAAAAGCAATGGTTTCCTGCCCAGCCAGAGTGGCTCAACTGAGCGTCAACCCATGCACCAGGTCACAGTTCAATCTCCGGTCAGGGCACATGCCCAGGTTGCAGGCTCGATCCCCAAAAGAGGACATGCAGGAGATCAATTTTTCTCTCTCATCCATGTTTCTATCTCCCTCCCCCCTCCTCTCCAAAAATCAATAAAAACTTTTTTTTTTTTTTTTAAAAAGCAATGTTCTATGGGTTGCCCAGAGTTCCCATAGGAGAGAACATACAGTCAGTAGTTGTTTCCCTTAGGAACAAAGTTGTACCTCTTCAGAGCCAGCCTCACACAAATCACTCCAGTATTGCACTGGCTCTGAGACAAGGCACCAGTGCCAGGCTGCCAGCTGGGAGAACCGATTATGGGTGATGGAAGAGAAAGAATGCTTCTGTCCTTAGCACATGATGGGAACCCCAAAGAATGGATATTTATGCATAAAATAACCCCATTGTTTTTCCCTAAATTCTTCCATCTCATTATGCTCCTGTAGTAATTTTAGTGTGGAGACAAAGAATTTGTTCATTTATACAGGAATAAAGAGTGTGCAGAGATCCAGAATCGGCTTGTCATAGAAGTTATCTGTATCACTAGGCTCATCCCAAGAGCAAACTGTAGATTTGCTTGAAATTAGTAAGGGTTCATCAGTTATTCATTACACATGTAATTAGCCTGGGTAAAAACAGATGCTATTTCAATGTCCTTGACATAAATTTTTTCCACTCCAAGTTATCACCCACATTCCTGCTTTCCCTACTGAAGTTTGATAAACCCCCAAGTTCCGGATTAGGAGGTGGTTCTATCCTTGGTGGGTCTGACTGCAGACGGAATACTCAAGTGTTCCCATCCAGCTTTGGAATGTGCTTGCACTCATCCTATGTTCTAAACCCCCTTTTTGGGTAGAACCAAGACAATGGCACAAAGGAGGAAAGTAATGAGCCACCAGTTGGGAAGCAGGTACATTATGCTGGAAACTAATGGGAACATCAATCCTGAGCAAAATCTTCCAAATTCTGTCAGTGAGGGGTTGGTTGTCTATAGTGTGAGGATGACAACACGGCAAGCCTTTCTATGCTGATCTTAGGAACTGAAATCGTATTCAGGGCTGTGAAAGCGGGACTGTAAAGAATGGCAGGCACAGAGAACAGTTTTAGCTGTGCAGGCCCTGGCCCCAATCTAGACAGGAGCCCTGATAAGTGGAACTCCCTTAGAGGCGGCTCAGGTTCATTAAGCCTAAGGGATCACAGGCACCCAAGGACCGTGCACTTGAACCAACACATGGGAGCCCTGGGAACTCAAAAGGACGAGGGAGATGTCAGAACTGTCTTATTAGTACTTTCCCATCGGGAGCTGGAGACAGTGAAGAACCCAGGAATCCCACCAGCCTCTGGCCTGCTTGGACCCCTGGGGCTGACAGTGAGCGCTCAGGTGGGGACCTGAGGTCCACAGGTAGAAACCTTTTTTCTACCACATCCCCAGCACCTAGCAGGTGCTCCATAAATAGCTGTCAAACAAAATGCACAAACACCATGCGCACGGCTAAAGGCACTGGAGAGAAAAGCTCAGGGAAGAGCTCTCCCTCAGTAGGTAAGGGGACCCATCCTTCAGAAGATTCTTTTATTAAAACTGGGTGACATCGATAAGGGGACAGTACAAAAAAAATTTTGGTCCATGAAAAAAAACATAATTCAGTTAATAAAAAGTTATCTTTTACAGGGACACTGTGTAGGAGTGCTGAGCTTCCTTCTCATGGTTCCAGCCCCAAGAACAGGTTGTCCAGTGTCACTGGGGAGCTTTCAAGGGAGGGGTAGGATAATAGCAGGAAGAAGACAGGGAGAGAATTCTGTCCCCAATGTGGAACAGGCAGGGACACCGGGCTGGGGGATGTGCTCGCAGGAGCCTGAGGAGGGGTGGGAAGCAGGGGCTTTGTCAGTTCTGTGGGTTGAGCCCATGCGAACGGAATTCCCCCTGTGCCCAGCTGTCTCCCACCCTGCTGTGTTGAGTCTGCGAGCCTGGGATATACTAACTCGGGGTGATACACCTGGAAGAATCTGAGGCTCTCATGGAAAGATGCAAAACCATCTCAGTTCCAAGGGGCCAAGATCACAAGGTCCTGCTGCTACCTGAGGGGCCTGAAGCTTTGAGGGCAGGGGCTGGGGAGTCACCATCCTGTGAGGCAGGGAGGAAGGAGTCACAAACCCAACTCAGAGCTCTTCTGCAGCCCTAGGCGCTTTCACTCCTCAGTGCCCCAGAAGTCACCAGCAGGTGCCAACTGGGCAGACAAGGGGCAGGAAGACAGAGGTGGCCCAGGGCTTTTACCCGTTTGACTTTAGGCCTGTTTCTCCATGAAGGGATGGGGGAGGCAGAATGGAGTAAATGAATGAAGCACACCTCCAAGCAACAGCAGGAAGGAACAGCCTCCACTAGCAATGACAGTGCCCAGGTTAGATCCCTGGGGCTCTGACAGGGAAAGGCAAGATTCCCCACCCAAATACCCTGGGTTAGGACGCAAAGGAGGGAGTCCTAAAAAGAGCAGCTACAAGGAGTATGCTGGGAGGGAGCAATCATTAAAGAACAAACTCCAATACTGATGTGGCCCCCCTAGGAGGGAGTAAGAGAAGCACTGAGACAGCAGGCCAATCCAGAGACTGCAGACTGACCTGGGCCTCAGTGGAGCTTGAGAGCCAGGGTTCCTTTAGTACTAGAGGGCAACAAGTGAAGGGAGAGTTTGCTCCAAACCTGTGGAGGGAAGGAAGGACATTGGATTCTGTTATCAGGAGAGCCAAGATCAACTAGCTTATAGAGTGCCCCCAGGCCTGAGTCTTGGAGAAAGGAATGAGGCTCCCAACTCCTCGGTCTCTGAAGGGCAGAATCAGTGTTGCTGGTCCCCTTGAAGACCACCTGGCCTTAGGCCCAATCCATTCAATGCACTGATTACCACTACAGGTTCCCTCTCTAATACTATCTAGAGGTCCTATGTAGACCAGGGGAGGGTAGAGGCACCTGGGAACTTTGTGGGGCAAAGGGAAGCTGGGGGTGGGGAGGGATGGGGTGGGAGAAGAGGGTCATAGGTATCTTGTAAGACAGAAATATGAGACCCTCTCCATTCTGGTGTTGTCCTTCAACCAACAGCATCCCCTGGAAGGTCCCAAGCAAGACCAAGGCAGGTGCTATGAGGCAGGCAGCACGGGCCCAAAATAAAGAATCGGTGCAGCCAAATCAGGGCTGTGGGAGAGGCCCTATGTATTTCGGATTCCCAGGGCTTGCTCTAATTCTTGCCGTCTCTGCTGCACCTTGGAGTAGAAGTGGAAGGAGTAGAAGATGAGACAAACCAGGAGTAGGCAGCTAATACCACTGACCCTGCCAGGGAACAGACCCCTTGCCTTTTGTCACTTTTCTCTGTGCAGCCCAGGCACCTACCTTGGAGTAGAAGTATCGGCACACGGCCTCCTGAGCCCAAGGCTGGAAGTAGAACTCAGCTCGGCGCTCTTCCTCTGGGTTGCCCACCACATCGGTCATGGTCTGAGGGAGATGGCAGGGAGTAGAGAGAGAACAGATTTGTTTCCTTTCTTTATGCCTATACAGACTGAATTGTATTCCCCCAAAAGATGTCAAAATCCTAACCCACCCGTACCTGTGAATCTGACTTTACTTAGAAATAGGGTCTCTGCAGATATCAAGTTAAGGTGAGATCATTAGGGTAGGCCTAATCCAATATAACTGGTATCCGTATAAAAAGGAGAAATTTGGACACAGAGACAGAGATGTGCAGAAGGAAGAAGTGAAGACAAATGGAGAATACCATCTGCACACCAAGTACTGCCTGAAGCTACCACAGTTAGCACAGGGGCCTGGAACAGACCCTCCTGCACAGCCCTCGAAGGAACCAACCCCTGCGGACACCATCTTGATTTCAGAACTGTGAAACAATAAATTTCTATTGTTTACACCAATTTGTGGTAGTTTACTACAGCAGTCCTAGCAAACTACTAATGTAACACCCACAGTCCCCCCTGCAATCATCAAGTCATTGCCTGGCTCAGGGATTCCTTCTGGAACTCTTGGTCCCTTGCTCCTCTGCTCAGCCTCTAGAAGAGTAGTCAGTCACCACAGGATGGCGAGAACTACGGGAACATTTCACACATTCTGTGCTCCTTCCTACCTTCTTGCCTGGGCCTCTGCTGCTCTCCTCGCTGGGAAATACCAAATTCTCCTTGAAGCCTGGGCCAGCTATTTGAGTCTTATCTCCCTTTTCCTTTTTATTATCTTACTGATACTGGTGAGATCCAATAATGTCTGATATGGTTTATTATTTTTCCAATCACAGCCTAATTTCCCCAAACCGAATGCAAGCTGCTTTGAAGCAGAGATCTTTTCCCACCTGTATCCCCTATGATATGGTGCACAGTGACAACAAAAAATGCAAATGCAAGATAAACACTTGATGATTCTACCTCCATTTCCCTACTCAACTGTCAGACCCTAGAATGTGCTAAAGATAATCTGGTCCCTCACTTACCCTTCTGGCTCCTCTACCAGATGTCACAGAAAACATGCAAACATGTGCCTCACTGAACTGAGTCCCTTTGCCACTTTCCTAGGTATTTTTACCTTGAGGTCCCGGCACTGGGACTGAAGCCAGTCATTAATGAAACCCTGAGGGTCTCTGGCAAAGCTCAGCATGAACTCCCGCTGGGTCTTCAGCTGATTGATAGTTTCTATTGTCTCATGGATCTGAAAGGAAGAAGGAAGCTCATAACATTTTCAAAATGGGGAAAGGCAAAGTTAAATGGAAGACAGTGTGGACATCTCCTGGTGCCACTCCCAACCTCGTACAGAGCTGCCTAGAAATGACACTATTGCCCAGAGCTCCAACTGCTCGGCCCTCCCCTTTCTCTCAGGAGATAACTTGCACTGTGCTCTATAAACCTGATATGAGAGAAGTTTTCCTTTTAGTCTCCAGTGCCCATTCTGGGGGAAGCTACATGGTGAATACTTAACCCACAGCACAGATGGGTCTAAAAACACTCATGGGTAGAGAAATAGTACAGAGGGCTGTCTCCAAAGTTAGGGTCCATGGATTTTTTTTCTCCGCCTTCTTCTCTTATTCTCCATACTTTTCCTGGCAATTTCACCTACTCACTTGTCTTCCATTACCACTGACAGGGTAATGAGTCCCCAATCTGCAAACTAGAGTCCTTTTCCTAAACTCCAACCAATCCAACAACTTGGATTGCACCTTAAACTCTGTAAAACAAATTCACTACCTTTCCTCCAACACTTGCTTCTCCTCCTGTTGCCAGTCTGAGTGAATACCACCACCCACCCAAACTAGAACCCTGGGAGTCATCCTAATGCCTCCTTCTCCCTCACATCTCACCCCACGATCCCCATCTAAAGAGTCCAAATCCCTTCAACTCCACTTGGACACATCTCAAATCTGCCTACTTATTTCCATCCTCACTGTCTGTACCCTCAGTTTAGACCCTCCACATATCTCACATGAATTACCACATCGGCCTCCTAACTGGGCTTCCTGCCTCCAAGTCTGCCTCTTAAAATCTGCTCTCCACCTTCCTGCCGGTGATGCCTCGAAATGCAAACAGCCCCTCCAGTCTTCAGGACAAAGTATTAACAGGTGTTTCCTACACGAAAGCTTGTTCATGATTATGCTCTACTTTCCTATCCAGTTTCCTTTCCCAAACGTCCCATCACAGGCACCTGGAGCTGTATCTAGCACACAAAGGACATACTTCTTGAAAATGCTAGGCTCATCTTTGGACCTGCACACACTCTGCTCCCTTTCTGGGATGTCCTCTGCCTCCTACACCCTAAGCACCACTCTCTTTTCTCCCCAACTGTTCATTTCCACTCTGTCCTTCAAGATTTCGTTGGGGCATCAACTCTTCTGGGAAAGCCTCCCTGTTCTCCTTTTTGGCTTTACTTGTAGGAACTATGTCTATTAAGGTTAAAGATAATAAGATAATAACAACAGTAGCAGCAATTATTTGTTTTTATGTGCCAGGAACAATGACATGCCTCTACATGAGTTGTCTAACTTAATCCTTACAGTAAGCTTATGAATAGTCTTTATTTCACATCAGAAACTGAGGCTCAAAGCTATTAAAAGGTATAGCCAGAATCAGAACTCATGTATGTCTGGCTCTAACCAGCACCAAGCACAGTGCCTGACACATACTGGGTGTCAATACATTTTTGAATACCAAGAATCAAAAGGCAGCCTAGAAGCTGTGATAGAGGGCTGGTAGCACCCAAACTACCCAGGTAGAAGCACCCACCTTGTTGTCTAGAGTAGCAATCTCCTGCTGGCTGGCAGTAGACAGTAGAAAAGAATTCATCTGGGTCTTCAAAGTATCATCCACTTCCACATCAATGTCATAACAAGCCGTCTTTTTCTGATCATTTGGGTCAACACTGGGGAGGAAATCAAAGGGGCCTGGTAAAGGGCTTGTCTCCTAAGACTTAATTACACAGGGTCAAAAAGATGGCTCAGGAATGAGGGGAAAGAAGTTGATTGCAAAACTCCTTTTGGGTGTGATGGGAAGTGTTCTGGATCTTTCTTGTGGTGGTAGCTACAGGGTATTACACATTTCCCCAAAGTCATCAAAATATACTTTGAACAGGTACAATTTATTGTATATGTATAAACCTCAATAAAGTTTATTTGTTTAAAAAGTCAATGGTAAAAATTTAAGTGGTACAAGAGATATCCAGTGAAAAGTAGGTTTCTTCCTCCACAAGGAAAACCACTACTGTAGTATCTTGTGTTATCTTTCTGCCTGTTAAACTAAAATTGACCCTGAAAATGAATTCAAATAAAACACACACCACACAAAAAAAGTGCTCTAACTTTAATTACAGGAATATAGAACAGACCAACTTCTCCTAACCCAAAGTATAGGTAACAGGAGTTACTCCTAGCTGAGTGATGGTTCACAGTCTAAAGAAAGGAAGGCCTTTATTGGAATTAATACAGAGTAAGGGTAAGAAGGCAGAGAGACTATATCCAACCACAGAGACATGCTGCTTTGAGGAGGAAGTACCTTCCTTCATGTTATATGTGCCTAAAGATGCCTTGCTTATCCATCTTCTGAACAAAAAAGTAGATGGAGGGCCCTAACCGGTTTGGCTCAGTGGATAGAGCGTCAGCCTGCGGACTCAAAGGTCCCAGGTTCGATTCCAGTCAAGGGCATGTACCTTGGTTGCAGGCACATCCCCAGTAGGGAGTGTGCAGGAGGCAGCTGATCGATGTTTCTCTCTCATCAATGTTTCTAACTCACTATCCCTCTCCCTTCCTCTCTGTAAAAAATCAATAAAATGTTTAAAAAAAAAAAGTAGGTGGAGGTCATGGAGGTGGAGTGTCAGACTGGAATGCCCTACCATCCAGAGAAAAGATGGTAGCCCATCAGCGATGAACTGGTAAATGTCTAAAAACGGATTCTCCAAAGAAGAGGGAAAAAGCCCTGATTTGTAGCATTTGTCAATTTCTGTGGTTTAAATATTCCCAACATGGTTGATTTCAAGCTGCCAACATTACATCACTGATCAAGGAGCTGGGAAGAGCTGTGCAGTTACACATCATTATATAGTACTTCCACCAGACAAACACAACAGACATAAGTAACCTTGAAAACATAGATACTAATAAAATAATTAGGAAATGATGAATTTTTGAGTAATATTCATTTTAACATCATATATTTAATTCTAAGTTTATATAATTTAATTTTAAATAACAGCTATGTTTAACAACCTGCTTGCAAAAT